TAAACTCATTCTAGTCCTCCCAGTTTCACAGTTCTGTGTATTAAATGACTACCATTATTTTGAGTGTAAATAATCGTAATGAAGTGCCGAAGCTCTGTATTCTTCTGGAGGACAAATACAGCCGTCAGAAGTGAAATAAAGAAAAATAAAACGTGCAGGAAGGAAATTTAAAATGGTTTAGATTGTTGAATGCCCATCTACTATCTTTCGAACAAATAGGAAACCAATTTAGGGTCCCCACATTGTACCAGTTAAACCAGAGCATCGTGGGACGTTCCAGACAGGAATGAGTCTGTACAATTGCTAGGATTTCTTTTGTTCCTAATATACTTTAAAAATTCCTTCTGATTAACTGTAGCCTGGCCAGCCACCAATTTTCCCCCGATTGTTTTTAGCTTCCCCCGTCATCTGTTTACACTTCATAAATTCTAACTTATATCAGTTGCTGGTTTTTTTACTTTGTTAATAGTTATGTTAATAGAGGTTAATAATGATAGCAATTTGAACTTCTCTTGAACCTTTTATTTGTGGAGCTCACAGCACTTTGCAAACATTAGTTTACTCTCAGACCACTGTGAGCCAGAGACAAGTATTTCTGTAAAGATTTTACAGAGGAATAAAATGAGGCACTTGGAAGCTGAGTGGTTTGCCTGAGGTCCCCTACATGCCGTATGCAGCTAGGACAAAAACCCAAAAGTGCTGATTCCAGCCCCTCATTCCTATCTGAGAATTAGCTAGTGCTTGTAAGTTGCTCTGAGATCCTTGGATGAAAGTTCCTATATAAATGTTAAGTCAAATAAGTTAAAGAGGGATGTGCCCATTGAGAAAATCTGCATGAAAAAATGTGAACTGTAGATAAATTAATTTTAAGTGTGAAACACCCCCATTTCCATTGTATTTGTTAAAGCGACAAGGAGTCCTGTGGCACTTTGTAGACTAACAGATGCATTGGAGCATAAGCTTTTGTGCGCAAAGACCCGCTTCGTCAGAAGCATGTCTGCATGTGATGAAGTGGGTCTTTGCCCATGAAAGCTTATGCTCCAGTACATCTGTTAGTTAGTCTATAAGGTGCCACAGGTCTCTTTGTCGCTTTTGCAGCTCCAGCCTAACACGGCTACCCCTCTGATATTGTATATGTTGACAGCTACAAAACATATCTGTGTCTCAAAAGAGAACCTTCCATCCAGCCCATCCTTTCTCCTCTTACATAACTATTCATTGAGGTCCTAAGGCTGACCACGTAACATCACAATCGTATCTCAGACTGTGAAATCTTACACATGGGCTTGTGACTATATGGGAGTGACAAGCAGGAGGCAAAGCAAACTGACGATGAAGGAACACACCTTCTACAACCCGAGTAAGGGAACAGAGAAAATTATTCATCATCTACATTCCTTTTGGTCAAAAGTTAATGTTTTCCACATTTCGGTCAATGTGAAGCTATCTCTTTAAAAGCTCCAATATAGGCAGAGTCCCAGATGTCCCAACTACTAAAGCGAGTGTTTCCAGGTGTGTCCACTGTCCTACAAACACAATACTACTGCTTCCTCCTGGAGGTCATGACATAGCTCACACTGCATTTCAATGCCATTTCTACAGATACCCCAGGCTGAAGGCACCATGTCTGGAAATTACATCTCTATACACGGTGATGCATGTTTCCCCTCCTCATACATGTACACACAAAATCTTGGCTCAGTCGGGGGGTGGCAGTCCACACTAAAACGGTTGCGTTAGCTAAACGATGCTTGTTGCATCTTTGCACTCCTCCCTTGTCAGGGACAAGAGTGATATTTACAAAATGTGGCTAAAAGAAAGAGTCCCAAAAGCATGGGGATTTGGAATGCGTTTTGAAGTCCAGCCAGATCCTACCATGCCAGGAATTAAATTCACAGACGGCTGCCCTCAAGCCAAAGTAATTTTCCTGTTGGCAGAAAAAGATGTTCAGTTTAGATAGTATCACATTACTTAGTAGATTTAATGTAGTGTGACATCTCAAAGTTGATAATCAGAGCAAATGGTGTATGCTGTATTCAGTATGAAATCAGTCATCTAGGCTACACAAGTATTGGCAGAGGGTGAAAAGCCATCGTCCCTCTGGCATCTCCAGGTAACCCTCTGGGCTAATGTTAACCCTTCCTTTTCCTTGCAGGATAACAATGGGTGCACCCCAATCCTCACGCCCCTTTGAATCCTTCCCTTGGATATGTATCCCCTTGCAGTGGCTGCTCAGAAGAATTCCAGATCCTCTGGCCCCAGTAGAACACAATACTCCAGTGTATCGGTCTTACCTTAAATTACTGCTCCTATAAACCAGTGTTTCTTAACCAGTGGTACGAGTACACTTAGGGGTACGCGAGAGAAGTCTGAAGGGTACGTCAACACAACTGAAATTGAAAGAAAACTGAATTTTTGTTTTAAGTTTTACTGCGCTTTATTATTTTTGTACTTTTAACACCCAAAAATTTCATCGCCCGCCCAGCTACGATTAAGTTGTTTAAACAAATGTGTTGCCATGGTAGAAAAAAAACTGTGTGTATCTGAAGACTGTAGGTACTGGGGGTACTTGTAATTTTTTTTAAAGGGGTACTTTATCAAAAAAGGTTGAGAAATGCTGCTATAAACCACCCAGATCATAGAATCAAGGGCTGGAAGAATCATAGAATCATAGAATAATAGGACTGGAAGGGACCTCGAGAGGTCATCGAGTCCAGCCCCCCGCCCTCAAGGCAGGACCAAGCTCCACCTACACCATCCCTGACAGATGTCTATCTAACCTGTTCTTAAATATCTCCAGAGAGGGAGATTCCACCACCTCCCTTGGCAATTTATTCCAATATTTGACCACCCTGACAGTTAGGAATTTTTTCCTAATGTCCAATCTAAACCTTCCCTGCTGCACTTTAAGCCCATTACTCCTTGTCCTGTCCTCAGAAACCAAGAGGAACAAATTTTCTCCTTCCTCCTTGTGACACCCTTTTAGATATTTGAAAACCGCTATCATGTCCCCCCTTAATCTTCTTTTTTCCAAACTAAACAAGCCCAGTTCATGAAGCCTGGCTTCATAGGTCATGTTCTCTAAACCTTTAATCATTCTTGTCGCTCTTCTCTGTACCCTTTCCAATTTCTCCACATCTTTCTTGAAATGTGGTGCCCAGAACTGGACACAGTACTCCAGCTGAGGCCTAACTAGTGCAGAGTAGAGCGGCAGAATGACTTCACGAGTTTTGCTTACAACACACCTGTTGATACAACCTAGAATCATATTTGCTTTTTTTGCAACAGCATCACACTGTTGACTCATATTCAACTTGTGGTCCACTATGACCCCTAGATCCCTTTCCGCCATGCTCCTTCCTAGACAGTCGCTTCCTCAGGAGGCATGGAGTTCAGCCCCCTGGCCAAAGCAGGACCACCCCAACTCAATCATCCCAGCCAGGGCTTTGCCAAGCTGGGACTAACAAACC